GGTGATATTTTTTGATCCAAAAAATCGGTCCCGGATGGCGTAGGTGAGAGTCACTATTTAACTCAATTTTTCCGGCTATAAAAAGGTATATTTAGAGCTTAATTAATTTTCTGACTTGGGTTCCTGGAAAAAAGTCGGAATTTGTCTTCTCCTTGTCTGTCGCCGACTAATTTTCAAGTAACCTTTCTGGTGTTCCCGTAATTTCTAAATTTTGCATCATTTTTACCTAAACATTATACAATTTTTAATGATCGGAACTTTAAATCTTAATGGTTAATTTTTATGTCAACAATGGTCCTCCAAGGATTCGGTTAGTTTGGCTTTTTCTCTGCCCTGCGAATGCGAGCTTTTTTAATTCACTAATTACTTTTTTTGGTTTGTACAGCTTTTTCCTTATGATATTTCCGATTTTTACTGACGTTAATTTAATGTTTTCTAAACCCGCAATGATCCTCTAAACATCCGCCTAATTTGGCCTCTCCTTGGCCCTGCAGAATGCGGAAGCGGAAGCTCCCCTTTTTTCAGCAGCCCACCACCAAATTATTCAGCGTCACCATGCGATAGGCGTCGATCCTGACGGCCCGTGTCGTTTTTCAGACAAAACGCCAAATTTGGTGGCCGGCGATTTATCAGGGGATCCCGGCTCTCAAGTGAGGCTGGCGAGGCGGATGGGGCCGGAACATCCCCCCACTTCAGGGGGCGCCTCTGAATTTTCGATTTGCCGTGCGGCCCGGCACGACTTTAGCGCTAGCTTAAAAAGGTGAAATGCTTGATCGTCTAAAGTACGAGATGATACTTATGTGAAATCCGTTAAAGGTTAATGCTACCTTTCGAAAATTACGGTACCGAAAGGCTTGCTAGATAATTCGAATTTTGGGCCCCGCGACGGTTTTTAGTGGCTGGAAAAACTGAATACTCTGATTGTGCAGAGATAACACGAAATGATACCAATATCTAATCGATAAAAAACTAAGTACCCCTTGAAAACTAAGGTATTAACATGCTTCCTAGAATGCTCGATTTCACGATTTACCGATCCCGGGTTGTTTTTTAAGTGAATCGAAAATTTTTTGAGCCATTGATATATTTGAAAATTTGCTGCCGCTTCGGGACCAAAATTACGATTTCTAAATAATTTGCCAAAACTTCTATCGATGTTAGAAATAACGCCAGCATCGAATTCCAAAGATCCGTACTCAAATAAATGTAAATTTTGCTGTTTTGAGACCAAATATTCACTGTTTCCGAACCTCTGGGTTTCCCGGATTGCATTTTGGAAATGACTGGCTTCCCAGTAGACCCGCAAAAAGCGGAAATTATGGGAATTGACTGCAACGACTCCATCCGGAACCGGTAGTTGCGAAATCGGAAATTTGGCGTTTGCCTGTCCACGGTCAGTGATTTTTGCTTTCCCCCTAGTTTTTCTGATAGAAATTTTGGAAAAGTTCGTAATTTCCGGGTTTCCAGAAAAAAATGGGCGGTCATTAGGGACGCTTCTGCTTCCGATGCGCCGGCTTGTCGTCAAATTCCTGACTTGTTTCCAGGGGGGGGGGGGGTTTCTGGGCAAAGATCCGCTACACCATGGTTTTTGAGATCTGGCGACTGTAATTAAGGAGTTTTTTGTACCAGGCTATAGCGGAGCTTTGGTTGTCGTGTAGTCTTGTCAACTCAAGCTTACTCTTTAATTTTTATTGGATACCTTTTGTTAGGATGTTCTAACCATCTCTCTCTCACTCACTCTGTCTCTCTCTCTCTCTCTCCCCGCTGTCTCTCTCTTCCTTCTCTTCCTCAAAAGCATTGTTTTAAAATCCGTTTTTGTAAAAACTGGAAAACCAGAATTATTACTGACTTCTATTGCTATTATTAAAGCCGACTATACCTCCCAAAAACATACTAAAAAACCCACCCTCTTCCTAAAACGTGACCCCAATCATGCTCTCCATTTCACCAGCTATTCTCGGCCCCATGCCCCTCCATTTCGGGCCCGAATTCCAGAGAACCCTGAAGTTTTTTCACCAGGAGAAGTCGAGCGGAATGATGCTGGCCACAAGTCCCCCACACCTACTTCTCAGCCCCTTGAATCAAGGCCCGGGGGACAGAGCGCAAGACGGGGGTCCCATGGCGAGGCGGATTTTTGCCCAAAAATAAAATTTGGCAACGGCCAAGTGGGTGCGGTGGGGTGGGGGTTGTTCCCGGTTCGGGTTTGTGGGTGGGAGGGTAGGTTGAAAGGTGGTGTTACAGCCATGTGGTTCTCTTGTTTTTCTAATGGTGTTGCTCGGGTTAACCCGGCCAGATGTTGCGTTTTTAGCGGGTCTTAAGAAGAGCCGACCGTTTCTGAGAACCAGTAATATTTTATTTTGGTAGATACCTCGGAAAAACATACCTTTTCTTGAAATGACGCTTCAAAAAAGATGCTTCACGGCATTTTACGTATCTATTAGGCACGTAAATTGGAGTATAACGTCGTCAAAGCATGGGCTACGACGCACTACATAAAACGCGGTTTTTCTGCGCTGATGCCACATTTTCTTCTCATTTTCCGGCTTTAGTAACCGAGTATCCCTTCCATTTCTGGCTAAAACCGTATTTACAACGCTTTGGTCGCAACGTTTTCGGTGTCATTTGGAGTATGGCGGTGCCGAGCTTGAGCTAAATACATAGGGCTTGGAAACGAAGCATTTTCTGTGCCCTAATGACGCTTTTTGACTCGGCTTTTCTTGATCGAGCTCGTTTATGGTTTTCGGCGTGAAGTGGGTGTCTGCAAATGCACCGCAAAAGCTTCTTTTTTGGCGTTAAAATTAATCAGCTACAAAAATTATCCAGAGCACACATCCTCACCTATGTAAAAGTCCAGCAGGCCTTCCGTTACTATACCATGCACACGCAGCCCTCGGCAAAAGGCCAAACTCTTCTTCCTCCCCCTACAACCCCCGTCCTCGTGTCGGTGGCCCCTTGAAGAAGCCTTTAGAAACGGAGGCGCCACTTCCGGCTAGGCTTTTTAGCCTGGGGAAGCTCCCTGGCCTTCTCCACCTTCCCTAGGTGCACACCCACTTGAGTCACGAATTATGGCAATCATTCATATTCATCCGGGGTGCCACACCGACAGTGGTGGCTTCTTCTTCCCGGGCGGATACTCAGAATTCGTATAATTCGCTCGTGGCCACCCCCGGGTTGAGTATTCTCGATGATCAATGGCGCTTCTGAAGCGCTAGGGCTACAATTTTGATTCCTAAAAACTACACATTCCGTTGTAATTACCTACTAATATACGAAAACTGGGTCAACCTTGATAATAGTCGACAACCATGGTAAGTTCATATTTATACATTGATTGAAAGCTTCAACGCGTCAAGTTTTGTGGATTACGACGGTCTTTGAGCTCAGAAATTAGCGTAGCAAGTATAAGCCTCTTTTTCCCCGTTCAAAAACCAGCTGGCCTTTTTCCGGAAACATCAGGCGCGTAGCATCGCGTGCTAAACAACATCCATCTGCCATGCACCTCGCCGCGCAGTTTTGCGCCTAAAATACGCTCATTTGGAGCGATTCCTAATAGGATACCTTTCTATATACCTTTTATACATTTAATCGACGATTAAACGATTTTACATTACTGTCCGACAAGCTTCGAAACTTGCCCGCCTAGACCTTTTTGGTTTCAAGAGATTTCTATATCTTTTAATGGTTTTTAAGGGGTTTGTTGGCGTTTGATGTAGTGCTATAGAACAAACTGTTTTTATAAAGTCACGAGCTCAAACCACTGGTGTTTGAGCGCCAGCCAGACCACTTTAGAGCCAACCTGTGTTCTCTGAATCCAACGTTCTCGATTTTGGGCTTAACTGGCTCAGCTTCCGCTTATCCATTCCACTTCACCCCAATCAAAATAAGCTGCCCTCACCATTACTCAATACAAAAACAAACCAACTAGTCCGCTACACCTCCGCTAATCCGTGAAAACCAGCCGCACGGGCCAGCCTTCACTAAAATTTTGTGCTGAATTGTTGTCCAATTGTGTACATGTTTATCGATTTAAATCATTTTTTATTTTCAGCGGGGCAACGTCGATGAAGTGATGAACCTGTCCTTCATCGTCATCTACATTGTCGTCCCGATACTCGGAATTGCCATTAATTTATACGTCTTTGCGCGGCTGATTCGGGTGGCCAGGTAATTTTTGTAAAGTTATTGAAGTGTTTATGTATGAAAAATTAGGTTATAAAGCTAAAGGAAGTTTATGAATCTCCATTCTCATATTGGTACCTCTAATAAATTGATTAAAATTTGATTTAACAACAAAAATGTGCACAAGAAAAGTCTAGAAAAAATAATTTTCAAGTTGGTACGTTTTTCGGTATATTTTGGTGCTTTTAGCGGCTTTTAGTGTTAAGTTTTTACGGTTCAAAAGTTGCGTTTGAAAGCTAAAAACTCTATTGTTATTGTTTGTTAATTTCAGGGTGAATGCCGTTCGTTTCGAAACGACTTCCGCTTTACCATTATGTGGCATGACGGTGGCAGATTCTGTGTGTCTACTTGCCGAGTTTTCACAGGTAATTAAAACTACTGCTATTAAAAATAACCAAGAATACTTTCAAAAACATAGTAAAATGTTTTTTTCGCTATAAAGCTGCATTTATATGCGAACCCTTACGTATAGGCAGACACGTCATTTCATCGCTTACCAGCTAGCTTCTTTGTCAAAAATTATCTTTTCGAACCTATGATTACCCCCTACCTTTTCCAGGTAATTTTCCATATGTGGAACATGCGAGCCGCGCACGACATCGAAACGCCACGCAGCGAAAATCAGCTGGCCGTGTTCAATGTGTTTTGCAAGGTAAGCAAAAACCTAGATAACTCATCAAAAATCGCCTCTAGGTAAACATCTTCCTGATGCACACGACATCCGCGTTCTCCGTGTGGTCGTGGCTGGTGTTGTCAATATTGCGATATACAGCTGTCTTCCACCCGTTGAAATATCGAACGATATGGCGGCAGCCGAGGGATGCGTTAAAGTACGTTTGCCTTACGAGCAATAACGGGAAACTTTGAAATTACAAAAAAAACTGTCAAGTAAGATCTATAAAACGGGAAATTTAGCAGTAATGCAAATTCTAATTTAGGCTCCTGCTCTGCTTTTGCTGCTTCTTCGAGTCGTGGATCCTCTTCGTCGCTGTTTACATCTACGGCGAGCAAGAGGGCGAGACGGAGCACAGCCCCGGGATGTGCGGCGAGAATCGGGAAATCGATACCTCAACGAGAAAAGTAAGCCACAAGGAGTCTAACCATAATTAAAAAGCCAACATTCCGCTGCAAAATTCTTCGGCGCTTACTGAAAGCTTTAAAAAATAAATTTCGTGAAAAATAAAGCCTATTTCAGACGGCACACTTAATGGATGTCACTCTATTCTACGCCGTACCCGCAATATTACGGATATTCTTCGACGGGATCGTCCTTTTCCACTGCTACTCCCCATACGGCACGATCGAGGAGCCGCCTTCTTTTTACGAAAGAAGATACGCTATTTCACTTCCGAGCATGGAGCGGAGGTAAATATAACAAATTTACTAGACTTCTCCAAGACGTTTTGACGCACTTTCTCTACTGAGTACCACCAGGCCTCAAAAAAAACCCTTTCTAGCTCAAGGATATCGATTGCCGAGAGCGACTTCCTGGGTGGTGGTGCAAATATGGCACTTGTGGTGTCAATGGCCCAATGTACTGGAGATGTAAGTCCAAACCCGCTAAAATCATCTAAACCCTTCCTTTAGCACATGTCCAAAAAACGGCTACTCTACCAAAAGCGCCGTCAATCGATGATAATGCGATCGATCACCATCTCGGCGTTGAATCTACTGTGCAATTTGCCACACAATATTCTGAGAACTTGGCTCAGTTTGACGGACTCGGATCCGCAAGCGGATGCCGATTCAGAGATGTCAAAGTATATTGAATGTGAGCATTCAAAAATAAACTTCTAAAAACAACCTTATAAGCTAGCAGAAACTAAATTCGGTGATTTTAGTAACCTTGAAAAACTAAACTTTCCAAGCTAGCAGAATCTAGAAAATATCTTGCTAAACTCGTAACTAACTACAAAATTCGCCAAGCTTTAACAGCTTTAACAAATGACGTTTTGAAAAATAGCAAAAGCTCGAAAACAACGTAATCAGCAATCACTAGAGTCTTCATAACTACCAAAAATTAGAAAACCCATAAATCTTACAAACTTCCTCATCCGTTCAATTTACAAAATGAAGCTTTCCAAACGAACAAACCACCAAAACCCAAGCCAATTCAGCTATCAGCCAAGCCCTCTACTTTTCACAATTCGCGTGCAACGCCTTCTATTTATCGACAAGCATTTACGAGACGACTGCCCACACCAGGCATGCCGTCCTTTCTACGGCCCCTACCAAATCAGCCGTTACAAGACACGAATCACGGGAATCTGAATAGATCTCATCCCTTTTACGCAATTCCTTTATCGCTTCTGCTTCCCTCAAATGCCAATTTGTGTAAATACCGCTCACGGCCTAGCCGATCTCCGTTTTTTCTATGACATTCAAGTCCTTTCCAACCCTGATCTCAACGGTTTGCGTCACATCGAAATTATTATATTTTCGCAACACACAGGCCCACTTTTCAAAGCCATATCTCTTGATCTGATCTCGATTCACACCCCTGACACGCGTTGTGCTTGCTTTTTTGCCGCTTGAAAGTATTTGACGGAAGAGTGCTGACGGGTAATGAATAAAACCTTGACTTTACCTGTATGATACCGCCGTTATACTATAGCAAACACAAGTTCTACGGCTAAATAAAGAGAAAACAAACCTGATCACACTGTTTTTGAAAGTTATACCCGTTTTCTTCGAACCTGTGGATTTGTTTTGAAGACAGCTCGTCGTTAACTTATCGAGATAAAACATTAACCGGTTAATTCAAATAAAATAACTAATAAAAAAACCTCAGCTTAGAAATTTAAATTCTTTTATTTTGCAGAAACTTTTATTAACAAGTTTTGAAAAGAAAAAAAGATTTCGAATGCTACGCTACGCTCCAAAATACGAAATTCGTG